TTAATTCAGAATTAAATCTTTTTATTGCCCTTTAACAGTAGTTTTTTTTTTTTAATCTCTTTTGACAGTTGTACAGGGAAGCATACAACAATACAACAATAAGTGATGTTTAAATAAAGAACTCTTCAAGATGGTATCCCTTCTTCTGATAATCAATACTTGAACATCAACTTTCCTTGGTTGTTAATATTGTGTATGTGTTGTTTTTGTGTTCTGATGTATTTTTCTCTTGACATTACTTTTTGCAGAATTTTTTGTGTGTCTGCACTACCTGCATCTCCTTATTTTGCTGCTGTGGTGTTCTCTAATTTGAGGACACCCCAGTGGACATTCTTCTTATAGTAGAAAGAATCTTAACTTGAAATCGGGAGACCTGAATTAGACTACTGGCTGTGCTACCAATACCAGTAGATCTGGACCCTAATTTGTCTGAAAATGAAAGGACTATTCTAAATAAACTTTAAGCCTCTTTAGGTTTGAGGATATTCCTTTCCCTTTCAGAGTTAGGACAGTGGGCTTTTATTTTTAGCTTTGTACACATAGATACTTTTTTCATCTGAATATCTTTTCCTTAAAGGAAATACTGAACCCGTAAATGAGATTAACTGGGGCACCGAGGGAAACAGGAAAATGCAAAAGAAGTTGAATGGTGGAGCTACCATTTATCATATGCCATACGCCATGCTGGGTGTATACACTGTGTGTGATCCTCAAAATAACTTCTCAGAGCAAATATTTTATCCATTTAACAGATAAGGAAATAAAGCTCATCAACAGTAAATATTTTACTCTAAACACACTTTTAATTGACCCTAAAGCAAATTCTGCTTCTAATATGGCATCCTGAAGCATAGTCTAGCTTGATTTTATACGGGGTGGTGTTGAGGGGTACAGGGTAAGGTGCCTAATGGTTTATTAAGAAATAAACCATTATTTTCTTCTGTTACTCTCTGTAACTGGGGTGGGATGGGGATTGGGGGAAGACATGAGAAAACCCCCCCTCCCCCCACTGCAGGCTGCTGCTCCAATGAGATCTAGGCTCAGAAATGCCAGTTTCAGAACTAGGTACTAACCTTGCTTCTTGCCGAGGTAGTGGGTGGGAAAGGTCCAATGCCGGTGTCTTTCCATCACCATAGTTCTCTCTGTAAAGCCATCCATGCGGTGGCGCAGTTGATTAATTAATTAGGTTGGAGCCCAGTCACTTGGTAAAGGGACTTATTTTGTGTTTTCTTCCTCATTATTTGACATGGCAATGTAAATTATTTTGATAAGATTAACAGATTCAGTCTTTGAAAGAGTATATGAAGAGAAGCTACTTGATATGTGAATTCACAATAATAGAATAGTTGTAAAGAGACAAATTTTTTTTTCAAATATCAGAGCATACTTGTAATGATGTTTGGTAAAAAATATTTGTATCTATCAAGAAATATGAGCTGACAGCTTTTGTGTGGAAACATGAGTGTTCTTGCCTATACTTTGGTGAGTAAGTAGATCATGTGACACTTTTGAAATAATAAGTACCCCTTGGGACACTAGAAAAGACCAGGAACTATTTGCAAAGTTCCAGACAGCAATATGTAGCAGGAGTTCCTTATTTCCCATGCAACTGAGTGTGTGTGTATAATTTCCTGCCGAGGCAGAACAGAAATGTGCAAAGAACGTGTTTTATACAAAGTCATGCAAGTTAATATTATTATGTCTCAAATTTTGAGGAAATAGTTGAGATTAGGAAGGATATCCTGTAAAATATGAGGCATTCCAGAGTTACAAATTTATCTTAGATAATTATATAAATTTAAATAGTGATTCAAAGGAATAATGCCAAAGGCTTTATTTCAGATATGTGTTTATTTCCTTCTTTTAGTTTCTCCAACTATGTACAATTTGAAAAGTTTTTTCCTGAAGTTCAGTGAACTAGCCTTAAGAAATGTTTAGTAATTTCTCCTATCTATAAGATGTTTGTGGATTTTCTTAGCAGAAAATGGTCTCTGGGATCAGAGACTGATTTGATGCCTTTCCTGGCTACATGACCTTGGAGAAGGAAAATCTCCACACAAGTGCTGAGGTGTGTACCCAGCAAGTGGTGAATATAATCATCCCAAGAGTATTATTGAAAAGCTGTTTTACAATATGAATTGTTTTACAATACCTTGCACCATCACAATATAAGGTTTAAACCTGAAATCACCTCTCAAAATTCAGCCATCAATGAGGACAGCCTGTTCTGAAAGCTGTCCACATCTTTATGTAGATGTTTATTTAGACTCAGGTGACAGTGATATATTTTTCTTGGTATTCTAAACCATGTTCTTCTTAGCTTCCATAAACATTGAACATCAGCACACAAACAGGCTCTGTCTCTGAAGAGCTCTGGTGCAGGGCCAGCCTGTCCAGGGCCACAGACCTACTCCCATGAGTCAGCAGAGGTGATTCAGGCAGCAGCACATATGGCTCACCCAGGGTGTACTAGGGCACACACATGAGGGGAACATGGTACCAGTGCTCTGTATCCTGCTTGTCTTGATTTAGGAAAAAGAAGAGCAGACATACCAAAAGGACATTGAGGATTGTCTAACTCCCTTGGTCTCTCTTTCCTCCTTTTTTCCCAGCCCTCTTGCTGCTTATGGGTCCTGCGTAAGCTTTCCAGGAAAGATGATAGCATTACTATTTGATTGGAGAAGTCTCCAGTCTTTTGTTTCTTGGCAGCTTTGAGATTTGCTTGGGTGAGAGCTGCTAGGAAAGAGAAGAAAGTGTTTGTAGCAAAATCATTAAACAGAACTGAGAAAGGGTATAACACTGGAAATATTTCAGGTCAGGGTTAGAGGTTCCCTTGCTGGAGACCTCTTTCTTAAGTTAATTATACTTTTAAAATAATAGTTTTATCAAGATGTAATTTATGTACCATAAAATTTATCCTTTTAAAAGTATGCGATTCATTGGTTTTTATATTTACAAAGTTGTGGAACCATCATCACCATTTAATCCCAGGACATTTTTATGACACCATAAAGAAACCCCGTACCTGTTAGCCTCTGACAAACACCGATCTGCTTTCTATCTCTATGGATTTGCATATACTGAATACTTCATACAAATGGAAGCGTACAACCTGTGACCTTTTCTATCTGGCTTCTTTCACTAAGCATAATGTTTTCAAGGTTCATCCATGTTGCAGCATGTGTCATTACTTCATTCCTTTTTTTGGTTGCTTGATACTCCATTATATCAAATTTATTTATCCATTTATCAGTTGATAGACATTAGGTTGTTTCCACTTTCTGGCTATCATGAGCAATACTGCTGTAAACATTCATATACAATTTTTGCATGAACATGTGTTCGGTTTTCTTAAGTGGGATTGCTGAATCATTGCCAAACTTTTCCAAAGTGACTGCCCCATTTACCATCACACCAGCATAATGATACATTTTAATCACTGATTATCTAATCTTGATAGGATCTCAAGGTTTCCATGCCTCTTATTATTTTCTTAATGATCTCCTGGACATTTGGTAATGTCTACTCTAGTGGACCAAACGTCTTTGAATGAAATGCATTTCAGTATCAAGGCAAAAGTTTAATTCCTTCAGAGTTGTCTTTTGGGCATATGAGGGTGACATAAAAGGATATAAGGTGACATAAGCTACCTTCTACGAGATATTCTTTTTTCTTAAATTATGTCTAAACTGTTTTTTGAACTAGCATAGAATCTGATTAATTAAATGAACAAGTGAGATTAAGTGAAAGAAAATTTTTTAGAAGCCATGGGTTTCTTAAAAGAAAAATCAGAGCTTATGAAAAATTCTCAAATTGAAGCATTAAGGGATAACTTGCTGCATGTGACAGGTGCCAGTGTTGTGTATGACTTCACTATGCAGTACTGGAGAGTGACACTAGGAGAGGAGCCAGCACAGTATGCCTAGACCCACGCACCTTTATTCTCTCATCCAAGGATTAAGCACCTCTTTTGTGCCAGATCCTCATTTGAGTGCTAAGGATTCCACAGAAAACAAACACATAGAGCATGCTCTCAAGAGGCTGGTATTCTTGTAAGGACATAAGCGATAATAACCAAGCAAGCTGATTTCAGATGGCAACAGATCCTGGGAATAGAGGATGAAATGGAATTTCTAGATAGGCAGGAACCACTGCAGACTGACAGTAAAAGACCCTTCCTTCGACCCCCAGACTTAACCTGTAGTCCTGTAGGGATGCAGTCTCATACATGCACAACTCATGGTTCAGAGTGGATTCTGACACACTGTGGGCTGTTGGGCCCAGCTTGGATACCTGTGCTCTCCCATGACATGGTATGTGCATGGCATGGACACTTTTTAGGGAAGATAGTGACGCTGCAAAAAATGGGAACAGCTTGTCTGTGGGCGACAGAGGGCATGTAGTAGCTATAAAGCCCCTGAAGAAATACTTTCTTTTTGTCTCTCTGAGTTTAAACTATACTTTGTTGCTAAAAAATGTAACCCTGAGCAAGTTAATTAACTTGCTGTAATTTTTATCTGTACAAATAGGGTTATCATGAAACTTAATAGTGTAAAATATAAAAACAGTCCTTGGCCCATATTAAAGTACTAAGTAATTATTAGTAGCTTTTATTATCATGCTTATACTGGATTTTCAAGAGTTAATACCTTCCTAGAAAAGAGGATTTCTTGCTTTTCTAGGGTAATTCTGAACACATATAAACATCTTTCCATCCTGAAAGATTTTCTATGTAACCATTTCAATGGCTGTATAATATTTCATTGTGCAGATGTATTATTATTGAATGAACAATCCCCTTCCTATTCTTATACAGTCACGTTCGAAGTTCTGTTTGTCTGTGTGTGTGCCACTGCCTTTTCCATCTGAATTGCCACTTATCCTGAATGGTGTCCCCTTGGTATTAGGGATGGTGTCTATTAAGAAGAGCTACATATGACCAGCTCATTGACCAGGTACTCAATGAGTGATACCTTTGATGACATCTTTTCTTTTTCCAGGACAGCAGGGCTTTTAAGTTTGATTGACACTACGTGACCTCCAGTGATGCCTCTGAAAGCATCTGGCCACAGCCAGGCCTGTGAAGAGGTAAGACCACCATCTGAAGAGCTTCCCCCTGGTCATCACCTGCTCTGTACCAGGTGCCGAACCAAGCGCTACCTCCACAATCCACATCCCCAAGAAGCCCAGGTCCAGTGTACATGAACCAGAACAGAGTTTCAGACCCGCTCATTCATTCTGAAGCCCAGGCTCTGGTTGCTTTCCCAGCTGTGCTACAGTATATTCTTATTGAGGTTAATTTATGATAGTGTTTTTAAACTACAGTCTTTAGGGTTGTGCCATTAGGGTCAATAATTAAGAGTATTAGCCTCATACAAACAAGACACGGAGTGTTTTTCCCACCATCTTCTAGTTACTGGTAGAACTAATACTCAGTTACTAATTAGAGCAGAAACTCAATAACCTAATAAATAAAACCCATGGATGTATTCATACAGCTACCATGTTAGTCAGGAATTTACATTTTCCTGCCTCATCAAATTATTTGTGGTGGTTGCTTGCAAGTAGCAAAATTGACTGATTAAAATATGTCCCTTCTTCTCCATCCTGAGCGTTATCCATCAGCCACAGTTCCCAAACCTGAAAACTGGAGATTGTCTTGTTTGTGCAGTAGTTGACTTCTTAGCAGAGTTCTAAGACTATGACTCTGTACTGTGCTAAACCAGCAAACTGTTCTCAAAAATGCCCATTTTTAAATTGTTTAAGAGGAAGAAGTTTCTAAAAGGTGTTTTCAATGTACTCTGAAGAATAAATTTCTAAAATGAAATCTTGAATTGGTAACAAATTCAAAAATACAAGTTTTTTATGGTTGGTCCCAGAGATAAACAACATAATTTATTTCTTATATAGATATTTCTTATAAACTTTCCAGAGATAGTATGCATCTCTCAATAAATATGTATATATTACAGAGTAGATTTTATATTTGAGTCTTTTAACAATACATTCATGTTCTACCTTTGCCTTCATTTCAAACAGGTAAAAACTCATCTGCCTCCTCCTAGCTTCTGCTACATTATCCTTACTTACTGCTCATCCAAATCTGGGACAAATTTATGTAATTGGAGACGACTCCATTTCTAAGCTTTACCAAGCTCCAGTTTCCCACTTCTTAAGAGAAATTCTCCAGGTAACGTCTTTGTTTCTAACAAGGTCTTCAATTACTTTTTCTGTATTTGTGTGCTTTGTGTGATGTTACTACTCTTTTTCAATGCCTTTCTAGACTGACGATCTTGCTAACCATTGTAGTTTCTCTGCCAGAATGATTTATCAAAGATTACAGGTAATCTATCCATCTCTCTCTCTTTCTCTCTTTCTCATAAGGCATTATAATGTATAAGGTGCTATAAAGTGTATTAAAAGATCATCCCTCTTAGAAATTAATGAAGTACCAAAATAGGAAAGCATTTTTAAAATTGGTTATGCATGCTTTGAACTGACGTAGGTGTGGACTGCCAGACACTGTATTAAATACTAGGGTATAGAATGACCCATGCATAACCTTGGCCCGAAAGAGTCTCACCCCAGTAATGCTAGTTCCTCTTCTGATACATAGGTAGGTTGTATAAAGGAAAGAAGAGCTGAAACCTCATTTATGGGGTGAAAGTAGAAATCTCAGTACTGAGATCAGCCACTTTTCAGAACTCTTCAACGGTTCTGAGAGCCTTCAATAGCTGAAGAAAACCCTGTGGCTCCTGTGAGCCGTGGGCAGCTCCAGGGAGTGGTGGCCTAGAGGAGCTTGTCGTTTGCTTCCTTGCCACTCAACAGATCAGCTACAAGTAAACAAGGGGAAGAGTTGTTCTTGGCAAGTTCAACGCATGATATAAGTTCTGCAAGAAGCTTCTGCTGGACATTAGATCATAGAGGAACATCCATGTTTCAGTCACCTGAGAAATATAGAGAACATTCCATTGTTCAGTCCTATTTTCCTTTTCTCTGTTTACTTTTTAGTCATCTGTCAGCTAATTCGTGCTTCTTCTAAGGAAGAAAAGAGTAGTTGACATTACTCACTCAACAGTGCTCCTTGTGAGCCATCCCAGCATCTGGCTCAACTGGCAGGGGGACAGGCCCTTAGTGAAGACAAGGTCTGGGCACCTGATGTGTCTATTACTTTTTAAGTCTGAGGTGAACTGAAGGCTGACTGTGCATTCCTCTGCCCATTGTCTGCTGGACACTCAGTGTGTTAAAACACACCTGGCACCTGGCATATTCCTATTATTCTAAAGCGCATTTCAAGTTGTAGGGATGTGATATCAGGCAGTGGTTCACTGTGCAGCTGCCATTTACACTGCAGATAAAATGCTGTCCTCAGTAACACAAATAGCAATCTTGTGGCTGTTACACCACATGCTCCTGCCCACAGAGCCTAATGTGCCCACAGCTTTGCAGCTGAGACCAGAGGTAGAGGGTAAAGAAAGCAAGTGTCAAATGCTTATACCATAGCCATATCTCAACCATCCATCCCACTGAAGGGGAGCCCTAGAGCAGAGAGAGACAAACTGCAGGCCATCTGACTTACTTTGTGAAGGAGCCCTGCATCAGGGCTGAGAACAATGGTCCCCTCTTGTCTTAACTATTCTGCCAAGAAATAGGCTCCCATCAGCCCAGGTACAGCCTGCCTGCAAGCATGGCTTTCTGTGGGGTTGTGTACTGAAGGTTTGGTGGTACTTAGTAAACAGTCAAGGACTTGGAGCCCAACCAGACAGATTCCTCGATTCACTAAAATTCTTTATATCTCCTGTATTCTGCTTTTGTGGGAAAGAATCACCAAAATTCAACTTCCTCAGGGAGGAATTGAAATAAGCTAAATCCTTGGTCAGTGCACTCTATGGTTAAGCCTACACATTCTATATTGACAATTGATTTTTAGAATAGCGCCATGAGACACTAAAAGAACCTGAGTTATCAAAAAAGATTCAGTTTTATTTCCATTATACTAATAACTAAGTCATGAAAGTGAAAGATATTTTTTGTACTTAACTTTTATTTTGATTATTCAAAAATTTTAAATTCACAGTAATTATAGGTTCACAGTTTATTGTAAAGAAATATATTAGAAATTTCTACACACCCTCCTCCATGCCACATACCACACCTACAATAACCACAGTACAATACCAAAATCAAGAGACTGATATTGGCACAATTCATGGAGCTGATTCAGATCTCACCAGTCATAGTTAGGTGCACGTGTACCTTTATACAATTTTGTCACATGTATAGCCTTGCATAACCCCCACTACAACCAATATACTCAACTGTACCACAGACTCCCTCATGTTTCCCTTATAGCCACACCCATCCCCAACCCATAGCAATCACTAATCTGTTCTTATCATTATAATTGTGTTATTTTATGATGGTTACATAAAATAACCATGTAGTTTATACTGATATTAGTTTCCTAGGCTTGCTATGCAAAGTACCAAAAATGAGATTTCTTAAAACAACGGAAATGCCTTTCTTGAGGTGTCAGCAAGACCATGCTCCCTCTGACAGCTCTAGGGGGGATTTCTTTCTTTCCTCTTCCAGCTTCTGGTGTTTGCTGGCAATTCTTGGCCTCCCTTGGCTTGTAGATGCATCGTTCTAGACTCATAACCATCTGCACCCTGTGTCTGATCACATGGTCTTCCCTCATCCAAATTTCTTCTTTTTATAAGTTCAAGAGTCATATTAGATTAAGACTCACTGTAATGGTATCCTAACTTGGTTAAATTTGTAAAGACCCTATTTCCAAATAAGGTTACATTCTGAGATACTGGAGTTAGGACTTCAATAGATCTCTTTGGAGGGTCACAGTTCAACCCATAACAGCTCCTTTTGTGAGTGTCTATTTTCAATTAACATAATTCTCCATAGGTTCATCCAAAGAATGAATAATGTTGAACATTTTTTCAGATGTTTATTTGCCATCCTCTTTGGTGAAATGTCTGTATGTGTCTTTTGCTCATTTTCTGATTGATTTGCTTATTTGTTTGTTTTCTTACTGTTGAGTTTTTAAAGTACTTCATACATTCTATATACAAAGTCTTTGTCAGATACACAATTTGTAAATGTATCTCAGGGTCTGTAATTTGGCTCCTTATACTTTCCACAAGAGTTTTTGCAGAGCAAAAGTTTTACATTTTTATGTGATCAAATTTATCAACTTTTTCTTTTTTGGATCCCACTTTTGTGGTCAAGTCTAAGACAAGTCTCTTTGCCTTGTCCTAGGTCTCAAAGTTTATCTTTTATGTGATTTTATAGAAGATTTATAATTTTACATTGAGTCCATGATGATTTTGAGGGATTTTTTTTTTTTTTTTTTTTTTTTTTTTTTTTTGTGTGTTTTGTCAAATCTCTGACAAACATCCAAGACAAAATACATACTTTTTTTTTTTGTATAATGTGTGTGGTTTAGGTCAAACTCCATTTTTTGCCAATGGATGTCTACTCATTCCAGTGCTATTTGTTGATAAGCTATTCTTCCTCCATTGAATTGCTTTCATAACTTTGTCAAAAATTAATTGAATATTTTTGTGTAGAAAAGATTTGTTTTTAATAAAATTTTAGCAATAAGATTGATAAGTAGTGCTTTGAATTGATTATTTTTGTCTTTTTAGAGAGGATACTATTGTCACTGACTTTGTTCATAACCCAGTGGTAAAGATAGTTTGTTAATTTCAAAGGAAATTAGACTATTTGGTTTCATCAAGAGATTGAAAAAGAGACAAGCCAAATCCAGGGTATTTACAAAGAATATCTAAAAATATCTTTGAAGATTGTCAGAGGAACTCTCAACTTCAGATAATCTTGTAGAAATAAATCTTTGCCCTTCCTGAGATATCTACCATTTTTAAAAATGTGATTTTGCCATTTTTTCCCCAAATTGTTAATAATTCCATGGTTCAGCACAGGATTATGTATTACACTTAGTTGTCATGTCTCTTTGATCGCCTTCAAATGGAACATTTCTTCATCTTTGCTTATATTTTATGACCTTGACAGTTTTGAGGAACAGTGGCCAGTTACCTTATTGAATGTTACTCCATTTAGATTTGCCTGATATTATCTCATGAATAGATTCAGATTATGCATTTTTTACAGGAACACCACATAAAAATACTGTGTTCATTTCAAGAGGCATACAGTTGATTTATCCAAGTGCTATGATAGTTTATCAGTTGATTAATGTGGTATTTTACAGGTTTCTCCACTCTAAAGATAACTAATACATATTTCATAATTATTATTTAATAACTGTCTAATAAATATCTTGTGGGAAGATACATTGAGACTATATAAATATCCTATTTCTTATCAAACTTTTACCCACTCATTTTAACATGCAAATGATTCTTGCCTGAATTATCACTCTGATAGTGGCCAAATGGTAATCGTCTAATTCTAGCATTTCTTCTGCATTAAATAGTCTTTTTTTTCCCCTGATTTATGTATTCACTTATTTATATCAGTATAGACCAGTGTATATTTTTATTCAGGGGGTTATAATCTGTTTCTATTGTTTATTTTGATGCTCAGATTCAAGCTGGCTCCTGTGTCCTTTGGATATGTTCTCATCATTCTTCAAGTACTTCCTTACTTTCTGACACAATAAGATATTTTAGACTCATCTTGTGCTTTCTTTGCTCTAAAATCAGCTATCTTTTCAGGAGCCCTAGTTAATTTTAATAGAGAATGGCATTTAGAAGCCAAAATCTGGGTACAAGGTGAGCTCATTGCTACTGGTTTATCATTGCTTCCAGGCCCTCTCAATGTACAGAACAAGGAAGTGTATGTAGGTATACTCATGTACACATACACATAAATCCATCTGTATTTCTCTTTCTCTCTCTCTCTTTCTCTCTCTCTCTCATCATCATCATCTATCTATCTATATTATCTATCTATCCATCTATCCACCTATCCATCTGTCTGTCTATCTATCTATCTATCTATCTATCTATCTATCTATCTATCTATCTATCTATCTATCTCTCCATTATTTATACCAATACCTCCAACTCTAGACCTTAGAATTGACTCTAGGGTTTCTTAATTCCATATTTATTAAACAGTGAGAAATCTGGCTCTCATTTTGATTAACTTCTTGATGAAAGCTCTCCTCTTGGTTTACAAAAGGACATCTCCTAGTATCCTCACAATATGGAGAGCAGAGAGAAGAAGCAAGTTCTCTCATGTCTTTTCTTATAAGGGCACCAATCCCATCACGAGACCTCTACTCCTATGATGTAATTACCTCCCAAATGCCCCAACTCCCATTACCATTACATCAGAAGTTAGGACTTCAACACATGAATCGGGGTGGAGAAAAGAAGGGGGGTTATAAACATTCAGTTTATAGCAATCCCTAACCCTTAGGAAACTTACATCTAGCAGGAGAGAAGAATGTATATGTACTAAATATAAAACAAAGTGGTAACTAGCATTATAGTATACAAACATGGGATCAGGAGGCAAACACAATGAATTATCCCTGAGTAGGTCAGAAGACAAGTAGAGTCATACCAAGGAAGGGCATGTCAGCAGATACAATTGTAGAACATATCCCAGCAAAGGAGGCCTTTAACCAGGTACAAGGTTGGGGCTCATAGGGCACAGCTGTGTCAATAGGAGTTAGTGATCAAGACATATAAAGTCTATTGTATGTTTTAAAATACTTGTTGAAATGATACCTAATAATGTTAATGATAGTCATCCAAGATTATTGGTTTTAAAAAAATAATTTTGGATATAAGAATAGCTATTAAGTTAATAGTCTTGACTGTGCCTTGTAGCTAAACAGTTTGCTTCTTCTGGAGCAAAGGGAGATTTGGCTGACAGTGACTGATGTCGCCCTGCAAATGCAGAATGAAAATAACTCTGGTCTCCCTAAAACCATTCCGGTCTGTGTGTCTTCCTAATGTGTGCTGGGCCAGGAAGTCCTGGAAATGCTCACCAAGGCTGCCCTTCACAGCTTTTTCTTCAGAGATGCTCTCCAAGACCAGGGTATACTTTCTTCTTGACAACTGACAGATGCCACAAAATGGCTTTCTGGCTTGTAGATTTCTCTCTTTTCCTCTGGAACTGCTGCCCTTTTCACTAAACCCACTGCGGGCATGGCATGTGGAGTGAAACTAGGCCTATGGTATCAGCCTCAGGCTTTCACTGACCCCTGTCATGCCACTTAGAACCAGAATTCTTTGCACTGCTGACACGCCCTATGAAAGGTGTCATTGGTTACTCATGGACTGTCGGTTGGTGGCACACTTTACAGATACAGAAGCCACCTAAAGCCATTGCCTGGAACATCACTTTAAAAAGAAAAAGATACAAATTGTAAACATATATGCTTAGCTCAGTCAGCTCTTTTTTTCCAGGAATCAAACTAGGACCCTCTCAACTGTATGTATGTATGTATGTATGTATGTATGTATGTATGTATGTATGTATGCATGTATGTATGTATATGTATATGTATGTATATATATTTTTACTGAGGTATAATTTGCATACCACAAAATTCAACTTTCTGAATTGAATTTGAATCTAGTATTTGTGTGCTTTTTCAGCTTAGCATGCTGGCAGCTTTGGGGCTTCCTTTCTGCTCAGTGGGTGTGTCTCTGGACACAACGATGGACCCCACAGCTGTGCCCCTTGGCCCACATGACTCATAGGAGGCTGGCAAAGTACACTGTGTTTATGGGCAGGAGAACTAGTTTTCTCTTCAATACTTTAATGATATGAAGTGTCTCTGTTGGCAAGTCAGATTGTTTGTGTTGAACGAACTGTCCTCTTGCTTCCAAAGTCCCTTTTGGATGTGGTCTCTAGTGCTCACTCCTGGGTGCTGCCTGACCCTGTGAAACTTGATGAACTGGGTTATATCACTCAGGTCAACTCCATTTGCAGCATTTAAGGTGAGTAGTCAGTCTTGATATAGCATGTGTCAGCACTTCATTTCTTTTTATGGCTGAATATTTCCTTGTATGGATGTACCACAATTTGTTTATTCATTCATCAATTGATGGACATTGTATTCTTTCCATTTTTTTTGGCTAAACAATGCTGCTAGAAATATTTGTGGAAAAATTTTTGTTTGAACATCTGTTTTCAAATTTGGGGTATGTATCCAGGAATGGAGTTGCTAGGTCATATGGTAACCCTGTGTTTAAATTAACCTTTTTGCTGAAATGCCAATGTTTTCCAAAGTAGCTGCACTACAGGATTTTTATCCTTAACATTAAAAGATATTACTAAATTAATTTTCAAAGAGTGTAGAAAAATTTACAATTCCAAAAGTAATGTCTATGAGGGCCTGTTTCCTCCATTCTTGCCCGCCACTCGATTTCTGAAACTTTTTATGATTTTTATGAACAGGAAAAACTATGATCTCATTATTGCTTTAATTCACATTCCCCTTGTCAGCTTGTGAGATCAAGTACTTGTCCATTGTGTTGAGGCCATTTTCTTTCCTGTGCATCTCTTTTTAATGTTAGTCCCAAAAGGTAACTAAGATTATGATTTGATGAGGAGAAGTGAGAGCCTAATGGTCATGAAGAAAGCAGACTTTAACAAGTCGCTTGTCATCTGGGTCCTCCATTTTTTCATCTGTAAAACATGGGTAACAGAATCAACCTTAAAACATTGTTGAAAATTAAATGAGATAATGCACATGAGGCTTTTGGAGTTTAAAGCACTCACAAACTAGTGATGATAGACATCTCATTGCTTCCACTGCCACAGATGGAGGTGGCCAGCAGAGTGCTAGATGGGCTAGATGCAGTGACGGCAGTGGGTGGGTGGCCTTGAGACCATCGGGATTTTTCAGGCAGAGTTGGTAAAGATCTTCTGGGCAAATGGGAGGGCATACAAAAAAATCCTAGCGGTGCCGAGAGCAGTTGTATAAGTTTCATCATTTGCTGGAGGAGGGGAAGGGCCATTATGGTACAGAGCTGGTTCTGTCTTGTTCTGCTTTCCCCAGCCATACTAAGGAGACTATGTGATCAGGTTTTTGTCTTAAAAATGAAGCAATTCTGTCAGCACCATTGATAGACTATGGTGCAAAGTAGGGAATGATTTTTGGCAGGAAGATGAATTGCGCAAATCAAGAGTCTTTGGAGGATGAAGGGACTGTGTGCAGTGACTCCTCCAAGCCCAGCTATGTAGTGCCCCTGTGAAGATGAACTGTGAGGAAAGAGGACACGGTGCAGACGGGCACCCCAGAACTGACGCACTGCGTGTGGTCTTCAAGAGCCTGCCCACAGCTTGCTGCCTACTTCCTTTCCACCTTCAATTCTCCTCATTGGTTGATATCTGTTCTCTTCCCATCCCCCTCACCTCTCTTGGAGCCCAGAATTGGCCAAGGGCTCAGAGGAGAGAGAAGGATGAGGGTGTTCTCTGCCCCACAGCTGAAAGTCATACCCCATAATGCTTAAGCTATATAGGAAACTTTTATTATAAGACTATGAGGATCACCACTGTTTTATGAGAAAATATGTATGTACCTGAGGAGATGGCTTTCAAAGAAGGGTTTTGTACTTACCTCATTCTTAACTATAGCCAGTGATTGCCACAGAGATGCCAAAGAGGATAATGTGTAGACTTTTAGGGA